CAAGCGAGAGCGTATGTAAAAAAAAACACAATAGCAGTATGCAATTGAGTGTCTGAATTTGCATGTGCAACCGACAAGGAGAAAAGGGCTGAAAAGGTGGGTATGCAACAGCTCAGCAGATAAAGCGCAGGCGATGAAGACCGCTCAGCCCCTGCATCTCATGCTCCTCTGGTGTGCATGTGTGATGCCCCCAGCATTATCTATATGACGAAGTGTGCACTGTGTCGGAAGCGGTGAGACCCTCGGGGTCGCAAGAAACCGGTTCGAGGAACACCACTATGAAGCATGTTACAGGATGCTCGACAAACCGCGGGGTAAACACATCTCTAGTGATCACCAGCAGCACGGAGCCATCAGGAGCACAGATGTGATTTTCATTGAGGCCCAAGTACTGGCCGTGGAGACACTAATGAACAGAAGGAAAATTAGGGAGTCCATCGAGATTCGAGAGTGTTGTCCGGAGATCAATATTTCATTCGGATGGCCATTGAAGGCGCTAGCACCCTCACAGTGAAACTGCTAAATCTTGCTGTGTTTATACAGGATTGTACACACAATAGAGAGGTTCCGGGGTACGATTTTCCGTGCCAAAATCCGTATGGGCGCTACGGATTTTTTCCAGGGGTGCTCCATACGATTTTTCGGCACGGAGAATCCGTGTGGACTGGCTTTCATACGAACCATGTTTCGTATGGAGATAGTAGTGAGGTTTTTGCATTCCGAATTTCGGTACAGCGTTCTCCGGTCATTTGTCGAACATCAAAATGTCGAATTTTCGCACCAACGTTTGTTTTGCAAGTCGAAAATGATGTGTTTTCATTTCGTCAGCCCCAGCATCAGCAACGTCCTGTCCCGTGCTCCTTTTCTTGCTGATTCCAACGAACTTTGATCGCCCAAAGAGTCGAGGGCCAAACCTGCCTCCTCAGTCGCCTCAGAAAAACCAACTCCATGGCCAAGTCAAATTTTATGCGTATCGCCATGGCCCATAGTCTTTTCAGCCACACAGATGACGGTGAGGACACTCCAGGCAATAGAGAGTAGACAGGAAGTGGAGAGGAGCGATCAGAGGTAGCTGGCGATGCTTATGTCGCCCAAGACGCCTGCGAAGCGATGCCGAGATAAGAAACGTCTTTGAATAAATCACGCGCTAGCGCTCTTCTACAAGAAAATTCATCCGAAAAATATTTTCGGCAAAGTGAGCTTTTTCCGAACAAACATGCCGAATCTTCGTGTGCATTTTCGACCTCGCTCCCCCGTGCCGAATCTTTTTGCCGAATTTCGGAATGCAAAACCTCACTTTTGAGTCATCGGGTGCAGAAAGATTTTTCGCGTACAAATTTGGTACGAGAAACATCGATTTTTGCGGGAAGTTTTGATTTCGGTACAAATTTTCAAAGTATAAAGGCATAGCGCGGGAATGTGACGTGTTTGCGATCGTAACCTAGGCAATGACGGCAAACACATAAGTTCCGTACTCCGGAACATTTCACTGCTCGAAAACGACGTATAAAAAATCCGTAGAGCCTCTACGGATTTTGGCACGAAAAAGCGTACTCCGGAACCTCCCTAATGATTGTGGTATACACCTTCGTACACACATTTCCTGCGCTCTATCTGCTGAGCTGTTGCATACCCACTTTTTCAGCGCATTTCTCCTTGTCGGTTGTACCGTAAAGTCCGGAGCAAACGCCCACCCCATTTTTGCAAGATCTGCTGGCCTGTACACACTGACCCCATGCACTGTCACCCCTACTGTACGAAAGTGCATCTCACACCGTAGCGGGAAGAGCACTTTGCTACGGTAAACTATGTCCACTTTCCTGGCTTCAAAATCTCTTTGTGCACTAGCGCTATAGCCACGAGCTAGCTAGCTCGTAGTGATTATAATAATGATGGTTGTTTATTTCGCGGAACGGGTTTTCTTCCGAATAACAAGGTAGCGAAGAACAGAGTATTGAAGGAACCAAATACACTTCTGACGGTGTTTCAAGCCATCATTTCGAGATCACACAGCGCCCAAAGGCAAATGTTTTTCTTGGGCACTTCGGACTTTTCAACAAGTTAGCAGCGACGTTGTAGGTGTAGCTTCTGTGACATACCCTGCTCGACTTGCAACTGCAATATTGGGACCAGTCAAGCCGTTGACTGACGCTTCATCAGAACAATTATTGTTCCTGACAGCGCGACATCGTGGCACTGCACAAATTTCTGCGGCATTACTCGTACCACATGAAGAACGACCTACCACAAAGACGATACATTTATTGAATGAAAGGAAATCTCGACAAAAGTTATTTCTTTGCAGGAAGATAATGACAATCGCTTTTGCACAGCCTCCTGGTAGGACATAGGCAGTTTGTAGGCATTACAGTCGTTCTCGTACGCATTCGACCTTCATGCCAGTTGTTTACAACTATATTGACCTGAAAAAGACCAAAATAGTATGGACCCGCTGGGGTGGGCGTTTGCTGCGAAGTGGGCGTTTGCTCCGGACTTTACGGTACGTGCAAATTTAGACACTCAATTGCATACGGCTATTGTGTGTTTTTTATACATATGCTCTCGCTTGCTTTCGTTATAAAAGGCCAGGCTCGCTCCTTGTACATTGTTCTGACGATGAGTGACTGGCCCGAAACGTCGATAATTTTGCAACATCGTTTATAAAATAATTTTCATCTAAAAAGTGAAAAGCAACTAAATAGAGCGGTTGTCAGTTGACAAACCCCCTTTTATTCCCGTAGCTATGCAGAAGACGTTACTTCAGTAACGTCTGACGCTAGCCAGGGTCCACACAGCTTTAGTTTGGTGTTTGTTTGTGTGTTTGTTTGTTTGTGTCACGCCTGGAGCTATCCCGTATCTGTCCCGTATCTGTCCCGTATCTGTGACTACAAAGGCTCTACAGGATTGTCCATAACAGCTGTCCACAATATTTGCGGGCTCCTGTATCTGTCCCGTACCGTACCAATATTCATCGTATTATGTATACGACTCCCTGATGTAGAGGGAGATTTGGAAAGAAATAGGGAGACGAGGAGGAAATTAAATTAGAATAGACGCCGAATAGGTGATAGGATGCGTCAGCATAAACATACTTTGGAAGAGAGATCCCGTCGTCTCCAAAATAAGCGGGAACGAGCGATTCAGCGCCGGTCACAGGAAACGTCAGAAGAGAGATCCCGTCGACTCCAGAGCGCCCGTGATCGGCAGAGTCCGCGCCGGTCCCAGGCAACGTCAGGACAGACATCCGGTCGAGTCCAGAACGCCGTGATCGGCAGAGTCTAAGCTGGTCCCCGGAATCGTCAGGACAGACAACCCGTCAAGTCCAGAACGCTCGTGATCGGCAGAGTCAGCGCCGGTCCCAGGAAACGTCAGGACAGACATCCCGTCGACGCGCAGAAAAACTAAATCTGCAGCCTCTTTTGCCGTCGGACAGGATACGTATTTTAGGAGACTGTAAAGTTATGTAATGTGCTCCACAGGCAACCATGCATTCGGCGTCGTCATGCAGTCGGCGTCGTCATTGGCTCAACAGGTCAGTGTACATGTATTACTACAAAAAGGCCAGAAAATCCGATTACTGTATTAAAATCAACTAATTTTCGCTGGTGATTTAATTTCGCTGATTTCGCCGCTTGGTACCAACCGGCCAAAGTAAATCGCAGTCCAAAGTTTGTCACAGAGGCAAATGATGCATGATTGAGCAATGGGTGCATGTGAGAGCAAAAGTACCGATCGATTTCTCTTTGAAAACTCCAATCGGCCAAAGTTTAATGACGGCGAAAAGTTTCGTTTCTCATCGGCCAAAATTTGTTGATTTACAGTATAAGGGGTTGTCCATAATTATCGATCTTTTACACAAAGAGAAAAAGTTTCGTATATGGGTGGGTGGGTCAAGGGGAGTTTCGTTTCGAAAAATATTGATATGTGAGACACCAAGGCATTCTTGCTGTCAAGTCAATCTATTTTTCGTTCAGGGAGGTGGGTGGGTGGGGAAGGGTCCTAACTAAACTTTTTCGTTTCGTGAAAATTATCGATAATGCCGGATAAGGAGATAAAAAACAAAGAAGAAGGAGCAAACCAAAAGTAGATGATATTAAAGAAATGACAATCTGCAATAAATTCTGAAAATACTTTTGCCTAACTCATAATATTGAAACTGATTGGAACGTTTTTGCAATACAAAGATGTGGCCAATCAACGGAAAAAAAACATTTCCATCAGTTCTTATAACATGTACGATGAGCTAGGCAAAAAAGCATAGCGTAGGGCCCTGAGCTTCCAAGCTCTCTCGTTTACAATGCAGTTGCGTGATGTCCACCACTTTCTTGGATAACGATTAAAGGCCGGATAATCTCTAGTCAGAGTTAGCATCAATAAGACCAAAACGACTAATGTGATACTGACATGCACCGAACCGATGTTTAGCTGCATCACGTTGTGAATGCGCAAACTAGCAGCCTTTTAACTTGCAAGGTTATAAGTTATGGAGCAACGTGATAACTCTTGTTGCCTCATGCCCTCGAGGAGGAAGCTTTTGCTTTTGTCCCTCATGCATCCCTTCATTATTCTCGTGTTTTGGTCGGACTTTGAGTAGTACGCTATCTCCTTGGAACATGCGAGTAAACCTGAACGCTGGTGGTTGTGCATGTGTCTGTATATGCCAGAGTGCGTCAGATAGTGAGCCTTGGCATGTGTGCGTGCGTAACGGTAATTCCATTTGCTGGGTTCTCCTCCAGTGACTACTACCGCATAGCCGGATGTGAAAGTTCAATGAGTTAGTTCATGTCTACCACTGTTCCGGGGCTTAGCTCCGGGCCGAACGTATATGACACAAAAACAGACGCAGACAGACGTGCAAAACCACCCACACCCACATACACCCACGCACATTGACAAAGAGACACAACCAGACACATTTTCACTCACTCACATTTATGCATACTCATATCCACATGCAAGCACAACCATACACATAGAACTAGGATTACACTTGATGGAAACCAGCTATTCAACTAATCTCTTACGTGGTTCAATCACAAATTCTTCCTGCACAAACATATGAGAGGGAGACCGTGATTACATCAACAGCTGCCGGTGAGCCTTCATGTTTACAAATGTATTTTTTGGATATTAACCCTCTGTAGATCACATATTGAATATACGGGGTGGATAATAAATGGAAACGAAAAGTTCGTGAAAAACATGCCAGGAATTCAAATTCAAAGCAGAGAATCCAAAACAACCATCAGCACTGCCATGGATCACACGTTCAGTGTCATCATTGCCAAGGTAAATGTAACCATGGTGATACAAATGTTGGGAAGGAGGAATGGGCCGCTACTGGACATCCTGGGTGAATCTCGGGTAACATTTGCGCCAACAGCTTCCAGGTTGAGAAGAGGGGCATGGGCAGAAAAGAAGAGAGAAACACAAGTAAGTACATATATGTCAGTTATGACTAGAGTACAATCTTTATATGTACATTTATAACTCTTCTATATCGCCCTCCACTAATTCTTGTGATCCTTGACTGGTCCTATATTACCCACATAGCCACAATATCGACTGTTCTATATTGACCGCTTTAGGCATTGTAATCTTTCGACTTTGGAGAGACTTAGAGATGTTCTTTCCATTTCAAAAAGAAAACCTGAAGAAAATAAAACAAGGAAAGAGAAGAAGTAGCGCTCGAACCTGCAACATTAAACATCTCAAGAAACATATTATAGCACCCAGCCACTGTGCTGCAGATGCTGAACTCTGTTGTTTTCCATCTTGTACCCAAAATGTGCAACACCCTATGCACAGTGGTGATCGGCTATAGGGTTGTCGGCTGTAGTAATAATTATACCTCTTATAGTGATCGTATTCTCAAATTCAGTTTCGTAAACCACTCATTTCTATACATATCGGATCAGCTATCATAATAATCGGCTATAGTGATACGATTTCTTTGTCAAAATGATTTTATCGCATACATTTTTCATCGGCTATACAGTCCATTCAGAAAAGATGGACTTCTAGCTTTTGGCCATAAATAGGTCAAACGTTGAGTTTTTTAGAATTTTTTCTGCAATCCCCTATGGAATCCTCTTCCAATTATGTTTCTGAAGTCTATTTCTCAAAAAAAGCAAGCCATAGCAAGAATAGGATTTCGGCAAGGTTTTGCCCCAAGAGCACTGAATTGGGAAAACCCATCAAAATCCAGGCCGTTTGACCCTGCCTGCAACAGTGCATTGTACGGTTCGAACCCCAGTTCAGGTACCCTTTCTGCACCCTTTTTCAAATTTCAAATTTCGCAGCACTGTACTTTGTACGATAAAATCTTGAAAAATCGCCTAATACGGGAATACGGGAGCTCGCCAGAGCCAGGGCCCATCTTTTGGTGAATGGACTGTAGTGATGATCATAAAAAATGATACATCGTATATGGCGAGATCTGATCGCGGCAGTCGGGAAGCGCTGGTACGACTATGATATCCCTCGGAGGAAATTCAAAATGTTTGGCGTTGGCTGTGCTTGCTGTTCTGGGGCATCCTCGAGCGAGAGCGGAGGCAGTAATGAGTACCAGCGCTGAAGCGCTACCGTGGTCTCCGCCGAGATGTTGGAGAAGGCATGCAGGTAACAGCGAAGACGGTCAGGGACGCGGAGAAGCTTCTCCGTGACATACGACATCACGCGTCGATCGACCTGCCAGTTGGAACGGTTTCAGCGGTGATGAGTCGAGCAATGGCAACCCAGACTGAGACACTACTCCCACTAATCGATCCTGTAGATTTTGTTGATATGTCGATTGAATGTGTTGAAGTGTTTCTCTTCCAAAAGAACACATTTGTTGAGCACAGCATATCTTGAAAACTCATGTCAAAAACTCACGAAGTTTTTGTTTCCGCAGGAAGTACACTGTACATGACATTGTTTCATTGTAGCTCTGCACTGCGCGTACTGCACAGTCACATGCACTGCGCGTACTGCACAGTCACATGCACAGCACGCTTTTGCACGCTGCACTGATTCCAATGACACCATACACGCATGTGTCAGGCATACCTAAGTATGCATATCGCCTGTAGTAATATATCGCTTTATATAGTGATATTTTCACGAAAATCAAACACCAACGCTATAGCCGATCCGTACCGTACACTATTGTACATATGCTACACTGCTTCTAAGTAAAAAAGCAAAATAGCTCCTAAAGGATCACATTTAACGATTGTGGCCAATTAATCTTGATAGCAGCAGGAAAACCATGTGGGGACACGCACCGGGCCCTATGCTGGCCATGATGGTGCTGACACAGCCTGGCACACAGACAAGACACACTCAGTGGACAAGGAAACAGAGTGCTCTGACGCAGAGGATGCTACCCGTGCACTCCAGCCTGTCAAGACCTCCAAGCCCATTGATTCCTGCACCATCATAGACAACTCTTGGAAATTGGTCTCAGCAGGACCATCAAAGACCAAGCGTTCTGTTGTTTATGTTAGAAACATCACCCCTGACTGAAAAGAGGCCCGCGTCAAACAGTACATCGTGGGCAGAAGCCAACATGCACTTCCTGGCTTTCCCATTCATGTGCACACCTGCAGCATACATTTGATAGAAAGTGGGAAGGCATCTGCTAGAGTCACCATAGATGTAACTTGACTTTTTGTGGTGACTGCCGACAACTTCTGGCCCAGACCCTCTACTAAAGACTGTGGAAATCCTGCAAGAGCAGCCCTGGCAATGACAGCGACAGTATCAGAGGCAGTGGTGACAGCAGTAATGCCGGTGGGAAGAACAGCTATGGAGGCGGTCGCAGCAGCGGCTGTATTAGCGATAGCAGTGACAGCAGTAATGCTGACACGGTGAACAACAGCAACAGCAGCAGCGATGCAGCAGCCACTGAAACAACGGACTCCCATGACTCGGCCATTATCCCACACCTAGGTGAGAGAAAGAACAGGAAACGTGCCAACTAAGACTCGCCTTTCATGCTGGCACCAAACTCCAAGCTGGTCAATACAGAAGAATGATCCTCAGTTGGAAGCACAGGGACAGATCCTTAGGCAACCAAGATTGTAGCATGAGGATTATTATTTGTTCCTCCGCGTCATCGAAACTGTCGCAGTTTGACTTTTGACATAAAACGGAGTATTTACTCGCCAGCAGTCGTACCACAGGTAAGGAATTGGACATCGGCGATAGTCATCAGTATAGGGTGACGGCAAAGTCCTATTTTCTGTTCTCGGAAGCTGACAATTTTGAACTAGATGCATCATTTTCTTCGCTGATGTCGCTGCGATGGTAAAAGTGCCATGTGGTGGTTTCTGTAGTCCGTGGCTTATCTGTAGCCTTAGACATCAAACTGCTGAATGAAGAACGCCCCGATGTCAATGGAATCATCTAGACTTGGCTAGATTCCACAGTATGTGACAATTAAGTCTGTTTACCTGAGCACAGTAAGGTTTACCAAGATGGCATTGCTGGTTGTGGTGAAGCAACCTGCATTTACTACATGTCCACTATGCCTGTCAAGAGCCGTCCAGACTTACATGCACCGGACTTTGCAGCCTCTTGGATTGAAATCAAAGGTCGAAATACCACTCATCTCTTCGCTTCTGTCTACAGATCTCCGGACGAGCGCTTGGAGTACTGGACTCGACCTGAGGAGATGGTGCGCAAAGCAGCAACGGACAGCGCTGCACACCCAGTTGTTGGTGACTTCGTAAAAAAATGTAGATGCACCGCAACTACACCACTTGTATGATCTCAACCAAGCGCTTGGTCTCGAAGATGCGAATAAACCGCTACTCGTGTCACCCGGCGACTCACTAGGCTCTGTTCTGGTCCTGGTTCTTACTGACCCAAAAACCTGCTGACAGGCTCAGGTGTCCCAAGGTCAATTGGTCCACACGATCGACATTGAAGCTCTTTTCGCAAAGACGTTGCTGCATCAGACTTGGGTGAGTTCCATCCCCAATCCACGATAGATGAAATGTAGGCACACATGCCTATCTAGAACGGTAATAATTTATGATCGTTAAAACACGGCTCCATAGGCGATGGCTCCACAACAAGGCAGATACTGAAGCGTCACTGAACCTGATACCTCAGGCCGGCGGCGAGGCTCCAGCTGCACCACCACCGTTGCGTCTGCAGCCACCCCTATCAGGCAGTGTTCTGTTCTCGATGTTCGTGGTTTCTCGTAAAAAAAAGGAAAGAAAAAGTACTGGTCTTTATCGCCAGTTCAAGCAAGCTCGGTCGGACGTTTTGACGACGTATTGATGCAATAGAAATGCGAAGAAATGCAATGCCAAAACAGTGCTCGAAAACCTGGGAGGATGTGGAGTGTGATCAACGCAGTGACATTGCGAAGAAAACCAAACCAAACATCTACATGCAGTGCTCACTCTATTTCCGATGCATTCTATAAAATTGTTACAGACACTAAACGACCAAGTCATGTTGAAATCCCCATTGGCGCCTATGACCGGAACGGTACACAGTGTTTCCTGGGCTGCTCCTGAAAAGCTGTGCCGATCTTCTTGCATGCTCCCTCTGTGGAATATTTAGTGTTTTGTTATTTACAGGCGTCGTCATCTCAGCTTTCAAGACGGCTTTGGTGATATCACTATACAACTCTGGTGATCCCTCCATTCCAAACAATTACCGTTCGGTGTCCCTTCTACCGATTGTGTCTAAGTTGCACCCAGCAGGTCCATGTAGTACTCACAGTTACTGGCCTGCTTGCTACTAAGGACAATAAGCTCCACACAGGTGCATGCATCCTGGACACGTCGAAAGCTTTCGAAAAAGTGTGTTACCGGATCCTCATACAGGATCTGTTTGAGGTTGGCGTAACTGGCAGGTAATTTTCATGGATTACCAGCTATCTCAGCAGCTGTCAGCTGTATGTTCGATTTGGCACCCTCCAAAGTGGCGTGAAGTCGTGCACATGTAGTGTTCCACAGGGCTCATTGCCGGGGCCCCTCCTGTTCAACATCTATACCCGGGATGTCCCATCCATTGTAGAGCTAGGAAAGTCAATCAAATTTGCTGATGACTTTGAAGTTCAATTCAGCCACACAGCAACGGATGTCATCTCAGCTAATCTCTCCACAGCAGGCACAAAGCACAGTGAATGGTTATGTTGACGTGGCCTCATTCTCAAAGAGACAAAGAGTCACCTCCTAGCAGTGTATGCCGGATACAAACAGTCAGCGCGCAAGCTGCTGCCTCAGTGAAGCTGTAGGGGCACGGTAAGTGACCTCCATAGTACTGCCAGAAGCCCTATACGCCTTGCCTTCTTTCACTGGTTCACTCTTCAGTGCTCAGACCAGGAGGCTGCAGGTTCTGCTGAGTTGAGCAGTCCACATTTTCTATGGTGTACCCATG